GCTCATACTACCGAATCCCCCGAATCGTAAAAGAAATATGAAAAGTCGGGGTCCATTTCCTTTTCTGAGCCTGCGGCATACTATAAACTATATATATTTAACAATCTGTTTATGTGGACTATGTTTGCCTTGGTTTATGCACTCTGAAGTCAGCAAATCTGTACTTTTATGTTTGTATTTCAAATATGTTGAAGGGGCTGGGTTTAGGGGGAGGGGGGTCCTATAAAGGGTCCCAGTGATTGCTGTCCACTCGAGACAAATGTCCTTTTTTTTTTGTTTTTGGTTTTTGTTCCTAGCCCAAGCTGCTGCTTTTCTTTTTGACCAACTAGAAAATTATGGTTGATGGGCGAGGTGGAACGAGAAATACCCTGGGGTGTGTTAACCTAATCCAGGCATAATAAAATTGATTTTTTTTTCATTGCCTGGCCTAAGTCAAAGGGTAACGATGAATGACCCCAAAAAATAGATGGCCTTCAAGGTTTTTCGAGCAAATATTTTTGGCTATCTATTTTTATTTGATCTATAAATTGATATTTGAACAATTTCTATTTACAGAATTTCTTTAGCTCAGAGCATACTTTCTTCTTTATTTATTTAATAATATTTTGCTGCCAAAAATAACCGTTTAATGTAACCATTTAGCCCAACTCAAACATCTTTTGTTCTGAGATTAGTTTCTAAGCCAAAGACTTAAGATTAATTCGACAAGTTCGTGTCGATGGCGATGAATGGAAATTAGTTAGAGGATTTGTAACTTGGCCAACGTAGCTCGTGTCGTTGCTAATCCGCAAATCTAGTTCCCATTTGATTAGCCAGCATATTTATCACTAAGTAGCCGAAAAGTAGTTTGTCTAGGCCCATTTCCATTCGCCACCCTCTCGAAACTCCGAATGTTCTCTCATTGTTATGCGTGCTATGCACAAATTTTTCTTTGTGTGTGTTGGTGTTATTGTTTGTGAGGTACACTGAGAAAAATTTATGATTTTTTTTTAAAATGTTATAATATTTTATTGAATAAGAAAAGTTTGAAGAAAGGAAAATTTATTATTTTTTTTTTATTTTAAGATTTTAAATTTTGATAAAATTCTCAAATTTATAAATTCAAGTTCGAAGTTATCATTAAAAATGGTAATAATTTTAAACTTAAGAGGAAGTTTAAGCTTTTTTTAGGTTTATTTTTTAACAACTTGAAAGTTTTTCTCTCAGTGCCTTGTCTTTGTGCGTGGAAGTTTGTGTGTCGAGCACATGCGTGCGATTTATTTGCTGTCACCGCAAACACAAACATCAGCGCAGATACGAACACACACATACACATGTACAAACATCTCTATATATATATATATCTAGTAACAATGACTTTCGCACCCTGGGCCAACACTTGGGGCCACAAATTAACCCAAGCACGTAGCTCGCTTAGGCGGCCTAATCAAATAGAAGCGCCCAAATCAAACAACAAAAACAACAAAAAACACGAAGAGCTAAGTAAATATATGAGCAGCACACCCACAAATTGACACGAGTGCGACTTTCAACGCCAAAACACACAGAGAGTTCAAGATCCTGAGGACTGAGATTGCTAACTGGATTTCTTTGATTTTATTCAGAGATTCATCTTATAGTCAGTGGAAATCTTTGGATTCTAATCAACAGATTTTTGACATTATATCAACTCAATATATTAACTATTGTTCTATTGTGTTCTCTTATATATATATATATATATATATATTGTAAACATAAACTATTTCCTATTTCTTAGAAACATTTCTTAAAGTTTAATCCAATGTTCTGGAGTTCGTCTTCCTTTTCTGGTACAATGTATAGAAATTTTATTGCTAAAAAAAATTTCAAAAAAATTTAAACATATAAACATTTGTTTTTAAATTTGGTATTAATTTTTTAAATATTTTTAATCACCATCAAATCAGATTTCTTTTCTACTTCCTTAAAATGTTAAAATCACGATCACTTAACAGTGGCTAACAAATTAGTTTACAGAGACTCATACCCTCGCTGTCCATTAACAGCACACATCAGTCAAACACTGCTTTATCGACCCGCTTGTTATACCCGTTACTCGTAGAGTAAAAGGGTATACTAGATTCGTTGAAAAGTATGTAACAGATAGAAGGAAGATTTTGCGACCCTATAAAGTATATATATTCTTGATCAGGATCAATAGCGAAGTCGATTGGGCCATGTCCGTCTGTCCGTCCGTCCGTCCGTCCGTCCGTCCGTCCGTCCGTCCGTCCGTCCGTCCGTCCGTCCGTCCGTCCGTCCGTATGAACGCTGAGATCTCAGGAACTATAGCAGATACAAAGTTGAGATTAAGCATAAAGATTCCTGAGGTCCCGGGACAGCGCAAGTTTATTACAGCATCCTGCCACGCCCACTCTAACGCCCACAAATCGCAAAAAACTAAAATTGCTGAAATCTCAGGAACTATTGCAGTTAGAAAGTTGAAAATCAGAAAGTATAATCCTTAGATGACAGCGCATCTTATAGTAGTACTACTATCCGGCCGCACCCACCCATACGCCCACAAGGCTCAAAAGACGGTTTACGGATTTTCTAGAAAAGCTGATATCTCGGTAACTATAAGTGATAGAAAGTTCGGATTAAGCATGTAGGTTTCTATGATGCTCCCAATGCGAATTATTTTTTTCCGATCAAGCCACGCCCACTCTAACGCCCACAAAACCCGAAAAACCAAAAATGCAAAACTCTCGAAAACTATAAGAGCTAGACAATTTTGCTCAAAAACACATATTTAGGAGATGCCTCTGCAACTTGCCACGAAGATGCATTTGACCACGCCCACTCTAACGCCCACAAACCGCGGAAAACTGTGGCGTCTATAATATTAGTATAAATGCCTTTGTTTGACCTTGTATAACTTATTTCTGTTAATATCTATCGATTTACCAAAGATTTTTCAAATCGGAACATTATTTCGCTATTTATGAAGAAATTAAGGTTATAAGGCCTCACATGGGCAGTGACGTCACTATAAGCATACTCAACATAATTCCTCTGACAATAGGTGGCGCCTTGTGAATTACCACTAGGAAAATAATATTTTAAAATTTTGTAAAACAGTAACGGGTATCTTATAGTCGCGGCACTCGACTATAGCGTTTCCTCTTGTTTTTTTTTGGGTTCCTGCTGGTGATTAAGTTTCCTTTTCTTTTCCATTCTTAAGTGTGCCTCGCCAGCAGGTGGTTAGTGGGTGGTGGGTGTTTCTGCGTGTTTCGTTAGATGGGCGGTCGTATTAATTAGACCCCCCGCCAGTCCGATTTCCCCGCTGATCTCATAGAGAGCCGCGCTGAGTGCTCAGTAAATTGAGTGGCTCTACATGACGAGTGGCATTTGCGTTGGGCTGCTTTTGTTGCCGGTTTTTCATAGCTGCTTCTGCTTCTGCTTTGTTGCTGCTTATGCTTTCGCCTCGGCTTTGAGTGGCTGGCACTTGAGTGGCGCTAAAGTCGTGGAAAATGAGCCATCAACAGCTGCCGCCCCGGGCCTGTTTGCTCGGGCGAAAGGAAAACACGCAGCACTGTTAGAAAAGGGAGGTTAAAATATAAAACAAATGTGGCTTAAAACAAGGATAACTCGTAAAGTTTTAGTCAGTTCTAAATTTGTAAATAAATTATTAAAATTTATGAAATTATTTTCTTAACTAAAAGCACATATTTTTTCTCAGTGCAGACCGGAGCCAACAGGCAACAGGCGAGCAGTTGTTGACATTCTTTTTAGCCTGGCTGTTGACTAGACGCCCCAGCACGTGCTGCTCCGTCACTCCGGTTCGTCGCCTTTTACTCTCTGGTTAAAGCGGGATAGCGAACTGCGAGCGGGACGCAGCTGAGCATGCATATTTCATGGCCTTAGCCTCCCAGTGTCCCCTCGCTCCGCTCCTGGTGTCCCACAATCCATAGGGACGGGGGATGAGCATACCGAGGAGGAGCCACAACATCATTGCAAACAACCCGGGCCAGCCCTTGGTTTACTTTGCTGTTTCGCATGTCGTTCGCTTCATTTATTTATGCACAAATATCCCACAGAAGGTGCAGGTGGTGAGGCAGCCACAGAGGCAACAGCAGCAGCAGCAGCAACAACATCAGTAACAGCAACAGCAGCAACTTCAACGTAAGCAGCAGCAACATCAACGTAAGCAGCAGCAACAGCTGGCAATGTTCAATTCAATCAGTTTAAATCTCTTTGCTGAGTCTCCAAGAAAATGACAATTTTCCTGATTTTCATGCCACAAAAAAAGTTCTCATTTTAACACTATAATGTGGCAGTAGATATGTAGTTTTTACATTTTATATTAAAACACACGTGGAGGTAGAAAATCTCTAAGATACGAAGGAATATTTAATGAAATAAATATAAAATATATATAAATATTAAGTTTGGACATGTTTCCCTCTCCAAAAAAGTGTTTAAACATGAAAATTTTAATTTAAAACTCAAAATGATGATAGTTTTTTCCCTTTCGTATTTAATATAGTTACTAAAAACATTCTATTTTTAGTAAATTTAAGTAGTTAAATTGTAAACTAACAACATATGTCTATAAGTTATACAACCCACTTAGATTCCAATACCAACTTAAGCCTAAACACATGTTTATCTTCTGAAAAACTTTGCCGTGACTGAAATACCAATGAAAATGAACCCAAAAAAAAGGAAAAACTTTTTGACGCCGGCTTTAAATTGTGCTTAAGTATAATTTTTGTTTATTTTATTGCACTCGAGTGTTGTCGTTGTTGTTGTTTTTCCTTACATCTAAAGGTTCTTATTGTTTTTATTTACGTATTTTCCTTACACACTAAAAACAGTGACAAATCAGACCCAGAATTGTGTTTTTCCATTGCTGTGTTTTCCTTTTTTTTGTTTCCCCCTCTTGGCCTTTCTTCTTTTTTACGTATCCGTACTCAAGCTGCCTCGTATTTTGGTTTATTTTCATCTTAATCTGCGTAAATTGTATTTCATTTGATTTCATTTTCCCCGCTGAGTGTGGGTTGGGCTTGGAAGGTTGGGTGGGTGTTCGGGTTGGTATTTTCTTCGTTCGGTTCAGACAAAGGGATGCCGCGTGCGTCGCTTGGCCTTGATGGGGTACTCATAGCCCTCGAAATCATCGTCTTGGTCGTCCTCATGGTGGTGATGGTGGTGGTGACTGCGGCTGCTGTGGTGCTTCTTCGGCTCGTGGTGGTGCTCCTTGACCGGCACCGGAATGGGCAGCGGAACCTTCTTAATGACCGTCTTCGTGTGCACATGTGTATGGTGCTTCACTGGCACGTGTATTCGGATCCTGGAAATGTTTGAATGGTCCATGAACATTGTTTGTTACACAGTAAAAAAAGTAGGTATTAAAGACAAGAGGTAGTCTATTAAGTGCACAGAGAGAAAAGTGTGGAAATTGTTAAATTTTTTAATTCAAAAAGTTTGATTTATCGTATTAACATAAATCTACTCTAACTTAAGAGGCATTCTTTTGAATATTAAGTTAATTTTAACATTCAGAAGGTATCTAATTTTAGCAAATTATCTTCGTCTGTAGTCGTTAAAGGGGCGTGGTTATGGGGCAGGGACTTACTTGAGCTTGTCGCTTGATGGATGGCCGCCTGCCAGCGCGAACATCATGCAAGTGATGAACAGAAAGCTTAATGCCTGCAACGGAAACAAGTATAAAGATTACGATTGAGTTGCCTAAAGAGGTTATCGCCCTCTCCTCCTTTCTCTTACTCCTCCCCTATCTCGTTTTGGCCAAACAACAGCTCATAAACAGCCCAACAATACAATTAGCATAATAATACGCTTCTAAGGATCTCATCTCCCTATGGTTTTTTATTTATATTATGATTATTGGCAGGAGCATCTAACGATGATGATGGGACCGCCTTCATTGCCAGATTGTTTGCTGATGTGGGCGTGACAGTAGCTGTCAGACGCACAGGAAGCACAATTTAGGCCCGGTCAACTCCAAATTGGTCGAGACGGAAATAGAAAAGCATTTTGCGACTACTCACTTGGTGGTAAATTAGCCTTAACTTGGCCTCAACTTAGACAATGAAAGCATTTCTATGAGAAGCTAAGAGATGCTACTTAAAGTCCTTAAGTCAAATGGCTTTTTAATGTAGCTGATTGATTGGCTTTGGGAAAAAATCAAATAAATGGCTAAAAGGGAAAGCACTTTAAGGTTATCATTTTGTAAGTAAAAAGGAGCTTTAGAGTTTAAGTGATAATTGGGAGTATAAATAAGAAATAAACTAATATTTGTTTCAAAAATAAGGAAATTTAAAGAAGGAAAGTTTCTGTTTTTAAACAAATGTGTAGGATGGCCCACGGAAGATTTGCGTTTAGAAATAGCTATAAAATAACAATATTTCCCAATATTTGAGCTTAAACTTAACCATTTCGTAAACCGCAAACCTTCTACTAAATATCTGACACATTGAAAATGACATTCGAAATGTTAAAGTCAAAATTATTGTTAGTTCAAAAAGCAAACGTTACATGGGCCATCTTTTATAAAGAAAAGGCATTTATGAATAGAGATTAAAGTTAAAAAACTTTTAGTCTTAAAAAATCATCTCAAGATATTATAGTTTTGTGACACATTTTGGTAAGTTTTCCTTTTCTATTTTTGACTATCATCTTGACCTAAAATCGTAATCGTAACAACTTTTAGTCTTAAAAAAATCATCTCAAATATTATAGTTCTGGTCAGTTCCCTTTTCTTTTCTTTTTGACTATTTTCTTGTCCTAAAATCGTAATAAAACAAATCAATTTATTAAAAAGGTCTTTCCATTAGCTTATCACTTGATTAAAACAAATAATTTTGCAATTTTCCGACCTTTTCACAATCACTAAAACATGGCCCTTTCACTTTGTTGGTCCCTTTACTATTGTAACAAATATGACTTTCCCTTTTGTTGCACATTTTTCGTTCAATTAACCGTTTATGGCCAACTTGAGAGTTCTTTTCATGTTTCAACATTTGGCTGGTCATAAAAAACAAATTAAGTTTTTGTGGTTATTTGCATTTTATTTTTTCTTGTTTTATTCATTTCCCGCGCGATTGAAGTCAATGAATTCGTTGCAAAATGAAAGCTTTTTATTTGCATATTTTCTTGTTTTTTTATTTTTTGTACACTTAGCGAGGTTTTTTTTGTGTGGAGACTTTCTAAGCTGGATTTAATTTTAAATATTTATTTTGATTGAAAATTGTTGTGTTTTTTTCGGGCTGGGACCAACACAAATGTTTGTACTCTTTTGTGGCGATCGTCTTTATTGTTTGCTCGCGTTTCGAAAATGTAATTAACACTTACTCCTTGGGGCAAATGCATTGTTTTATCGCGTTGTTTTTTTTGTGTTTTTGCTATTTGTTCGATGTTCGTTTAAATTGGATTAAAAGTGCGGATTTCGGTAAACCATCGTCGACGGGCGTAGAAATGGAATTGCTCTGGGACCCGCCGCCTGCATCCGCTTAAATATGAGGCAAAAAGCAAAGAAAAAAAAGTTATGAGCTAAAGGGTGAAACGTGCCACAGAGTGGCGCTGTGGCAGCGCCAGTTGCAGCAACAACTGCGGTGACACGAAGTTGCTGAGTTGGAAACGAAGTAAAAACAAAAACATAATCAACTTGGCTTAAGGAGCCCGGCGGAGGGGCAGCGGAAATGGCCAGTTGTCTCGGTGTGTCTTGGCTAAAAACTCGGGCTAGGTTTCGGACTCGAACTTGTGGTAATGTTAACTGCTTGTTGGTTTTAGCCAGATTTGGTCGACTTGCCAAAGACGCTGCAGTAAGTAATGTCTAATTAGAGTTAATAGATTAATATTTTCTAAGTAATAATTTATTTTAAACAGAAACTTTTGTGGAAACTTTTATCGAATTATTAATAAATATCTTCACAGGCTTATGAGTTTACCCTCGAACTGATACATATTTCTAATGGTTTAAGTTCTAGTTCAAAAGGCTTATTAATTTACTGTTAATATACTTAGTATACCTTCAATATACCCCAAAAATCAGCTTAGTGGAGGGCATCTAGTCATCCTGACATGATAGTGAAAACACACGCCGCAAATAAACCGAGCCAAAGCCAAAACAAAACCCAAAGTCAGAGATGCCAGTAGCCATCCAAAAACTGAGGCTCAAAGCCACAAAGCCTCTCCTACCTTATATTCCCCTCTCACTTACAGACTCCCCCTCTCTCCTCTCTCTCTCTCTCTCTCACACAAACAACCAGTGGAAAAGCCGCCGAACATGAAGATACTTTTCCAAGGCAAAAGTGCGAGTGGAAGTGAGATGGATGGGGGCCACGTGTAATTGAAGCCTGTGCCTGAGTTAAACGCAGCGATTATGTCGGTCTGCCCGCCTCTAGCGGTAGGAAAACTGAGGGGGCGTGACAAAGGGGGAGGAGGTGGCTGGCGCCGGCAGCAGGTTACAGTTGCAGTTTTCAGTTTTCAGTTGCAGTGGCTGCTGCAGTGGCAAGGATTTTGGCCAGCTTCCTGGTTAGGCATTTCGACTCGCATTCGTTTGTCACAAATTGAGTTGTGCGCTGAAATATGTCGTCGTGTCAACTGCATTTACACTGGGAGAAAATAACTATTTAGGTATTAGAAAAAATATTGCAAAAATTGCTCAAACATCGTTATGCTATTATCTGCCAAATAAGCTCAGGATTTTGTCTATAAAAATGAAAAATATGTTCGGAATATGGAATGTCATATATCGTTGAGCTTGTATTTAAATTTCTAATAAAACTGTGTTCACACCTTAAAATGTCAAATTTTGCACATTTTTCGAAAAAAAGACGATGTAACCCCTTATCGAAAATGCGAAAAATGGCTAAAAATTTATTTTCTTAAATCAGCCAATACAATGATATGGGTAGTTTATTTTGGTCGTTAGCTGCTCAAAACTGTTTTCCTTTTAGCTCTAAGTCTTGTTTTGACTAAATTATGGCTTATAATCTAAGGAAAAATGTCGTTAATATTGCCATAAAATCGCTATCCTGATTTGCCCTTAAAAAATGTCAGAATTGTTACCATAACTCTGCCAAATATTGTCGGAATATAAAATGTCATATCTTGTTGAATTCGTAATTAAATTTCTAATAAAACTGTGTTCACACCTTGAAATGTAAAATTTGGCCATTTTTCAGAAAAAAAGACAAAAATGCGAAAAATGGCTTAAAATTTATTTTCTTAAATCAGCCAATTCAATGATATGGGTCCTTTATTTTCATCATTAGCTGCACAAAACTTCCTTCCTTTTGGCTCTAGGTTTAATTTTGACTGAGTTACAGCTAAAAATCCTCTTAAAATTGTGATGCTTGTAAGCTCTACTTATTTGATATTTGAAAACACATTTAAAGCCAATTTCTTTCAGTGCAGCTGCACCCGCGTCGACCTGCATTTGATAGCAATTTAAATGTGCACCGCAATGGCAATCCATTTGATTGGCCATTCTGGCCGCTGGGCCAGAGCGTTGGAGTTTCGTGGAGTCATAGCCATAGCCATAGCCATGAATGTAATGCAGGAAGCGCTCCATTTCGACCATTTCTACCATTTCGACCAGCTAATCAACTTGTTTTTCGCTGGCAAGCTGGCAACTATTGCATAACAATGACAAATCCAGACCGGCACGACACTTGGTCATTGTCTTCGCCTCGCTGGAGACGGGCTGGCTCATCCAACTAGTTTCAGCTTTTCTGGCACTGTTCCGGCTGACATGATATAACTATGATATGTACCATGGCCACTTATTGGTCTGCAATTGTTTCGCTTTGGCTAGGAAAGTTTTCTCCACGCTGTGGCTGTTCCTCCAATGGCCAGAAGTTGGGCAATTAACGGACACACATCTTTGATGATATAATCATATGAAAAAAAAAGCGAGAAATTTGATCGAGCCATTTGACCGGTTCGGGGGCCACTTTTCCATCATGATCGCGCAATTGCGAAAAAGTGTCAAAATTAATTGCATACAAAGTGGCTCGATTCGGTGCGGTGATTTGGCCAACATGGGGTCATTAGCACCACATTTGCGTGGTTGGTGGCAACAGCAAATGAAAAGTCTTTTCTATTAATAAAAAATTGTGTTTAGAGAGTAGTGAAAATAGTTTAAAAAATATGCTTAACAAGATTTTGTTGTGCGAAGAAAACTAAGTTTTAGCATAAAGGAATATTTTCTAAAAATTTATAATAATGTTTTTTATAGTAAATAAAGTTTAAACATTTCAATTAAACAATATATGTTTTTAAAAAAATATTTTAATCTTAAAAGACGCCTACCCTCTGCCTTCAAAGAGGTTTCTTGACGAAACCATCCACAGATTCCCCTTAAATATTCATTTTTTGTTAATCTTTAAAAAATCCTTAAAGTAAATATTCAATTAATTATGTGTTAAAATACTGTAATATATCTTAAAAAACACATTAACTCTTTCAAAATTAAAATTTAACATACTCAAAAAATCTGTAACAAGGCCAGGGGTAGCACATTTACCACTTTGCTCGAAAGATTAATATTGGAGATGGCCAGCGGCGATTCAGCCAATGCAAACGAAAGTGGCGGCAATGCCAAATTTGCTTAACCTGTTGTGCTTACGGCCTTTCACTGCGGAATATGGCCAACAAGCCTTTCAGCCCGACTGACTGGCTGCCTGCAAGCCTGGCAAGGATTATCCAACCGAAAAGCCAAAGCCTCGGAAACCGATACATCAGGCCGTTGTCTCACCGTCCGCCAGCCATTTCCTTTAGCAATAAATTTTCACTTAACTATGTCGATCATCGCCGCATATGCGTATGTATGCAACATGCAACATTCATGTGCAACATCACCATAGCCATCATTCCGGTGGGTGGACTTTCGGGCTGCCTTTTAGTATATGTGACACAATTTTCCAGTTTGCCAGTTACGCCTCGTAAGTTTAATTGACGGAAGCGCGTTAAAATTGCACGGCCAAACCAAAGTTGAAAATGTAAAAAATGAAATAAAAAACATGGTTTGGAGGGAAATCGAAATAAAAAAAAGGAAAACAAAGTGAAAATTTGTGTATGCATTATGCATTTGCATACGCCTGCCGCCAATTGCTAGCCGCCAGAGTTTCCCGCTTCATTTACCCATTTGTAATTGATGACCATATTAAAGAGTTCGATTTGGGATTAAGCTTCAATTTGGCCAAAAACCCCGAATCCCGTTTCGGTTATTTGAAAGAAGGAAGGCCTGCTGATATAACGCTTTTCACACGCTTTTCCTTAATCAAAGCAATACCAGTTTGGATTTGTATTATGTAGCTTAGCTAGTAAGTAGCTTTAATCACTAATTAACTTTAGTATATTTGTGGAATTTGTTAGACTTGTAACCGAATTTTTGTTTAAGTTGTTTTGGGTGGTTAAACAGTTTGCATAATGGTTTTTCTTTTAAATTGGTTTATGGTTAAATAATATATATTTTGCTGACTTCGATTGAGCAATCAATGGCTTGATATTTATCATCCTTTTACTGCAATGAGTAATGTTAGACATTATGTTATGACTAACCATATTGTAGTGAAATTTATCTTAAGATTGTTAAAGGAAATGTGAAGACATTATAATAAACTGTCTTGTTAATTTTAGTTGTTACTGAACTAAAGTTAGGTTAAAAACAAACCTGTAATTTGTAAAGTAAATGCTAGTTTTGAGATTAAACTCTGAAATCTCAAATTGAAAAGTCAAGAGTAAAAGGTAATATAAATATTTTAAAAAGAAAAAATGCTTTCATACATTTTATTTAGTTGATGTTTTTAATGTTTTAAATATTTTTTTACTACTATTGTATTCTTTAAAAATGATAAATTGTAGAGCAACATTTTCTGTGTATACCTATAAAGATAAGACTGAGAAATCAAGTTTGTCTAAGTATGGCTAAAGGACATTGTTCCACAGGTGATTAGGCTCAATGACTGGCTGGCTCATCAATATATAAACTTCTTATTACTTTAAATCTACATTTTTAATTTTCATTTTTAAACAACAAATTCATTATCTTCTCCATTCTTCAACCTCCACCTAAGCTAATCTGATTTCCATAAAGTAACCAAATGAAATCCTCTATCCCAGCACCATCAGCAAATCCTTGAATTGAAGTCCTTGAAACTCTCTATCCCAGCTGCCGATGAATCAATTGCTAAGATTTAACGATAAACTTAGGAGTATTTGTTGCATGGAAAACTATTCGCCCTGCTGACATCATCAAATGTGACCTTGCCACAGAAATCAGAATGGCTACATGTATGTATGTATGTAAGCAAGTGGCCATAAATCTAGTTCTGACCACAAGCGAACGTGTGTGTATATATATATGCATGTGTATATGGGTGTGTGTTAGTGAAGCACAAAGTTTTACTTTGGCTAAAACATGGATTTGCCTTTAACGGGGCACGCAGGTGTCGTTGTGGTTGTTGCCATACAGTTATTGCGTATTGAAAAGGCAACATACAAGATTCTCTCTTCGACTTTTGTATGCAGCACGTTTTTATGGCCTCACCGAGTGGTAGATTCTTGGGCTATAGGGGAGGTGCATTAATTTATGGCCATCAAAAGCAAGTTAGACGATTGAGCATTTCGGATTGGCACAAAAGTTTGCTGAACTTAGCAGAAATCCAGCTTACATTCTCCGTCCATAAACCGCAATGTTTCGGCCTTCTGGTGACATTTTAGCCTGCCCAGCGGGTTGTTAGCCCTCATGATCGCATACACTTGACTGCAATCGACCTAAATAACATGGGCATTTGTGTTCTCATTCCTGTACAATGATTCTCTGTTTGTTTTACGAGCATAGTCACTTGTAAGTCAATGTCTAGGGTAGAGGTTTGGGTTTGAGTTATGTATTATAGGGCAGAAAAACCTTTACATATTTATACGAAATATAGATATAAATGAAAGTAATCGTTTCTTTTGGTTATTAGCTGCACAAAAAAGTTATTATATTTGCTGTACCTTTTGTTTTGACTAACTTATAGCTTAAAATCCTGGAAAAGTAAGACCAAAAATGCTCAAAAATCGTTATCCTAATTTGTTGCCAAAACGGTCAGAATCGTTACTATAACTCTGCCAAATATTGTCGGAATATAAAATGTCATATCTCGTTGAGCTCGTAATTAAATTTCTAATAAAACTGTGTTCACACCTTAAAATGTGAAATTATGGCCATTTTTCGGAAAAAAAGACGATGTAACCCCTTATCGAAAATGCGAAAAATGGCTAAAAATTTATTTTCTTAAATCAGCTAATACAATGACATGGGTAGTTTATTTTGGCCATTAGCTGCTCAAAACTGTTTTCCTTATAGATCTAAGTCTTGTTTTGGCTAATTTATAGCTCAAAATCTAAGAAAAAATGTCGTTAATATTGTCATAAAATCGTTATCCTGATTTGTACTTTAAAAAATGTCAGAATTGTTACCATATTTTTGTCAAAAATGGTCGGATTATGGAATGTCATATCTCGTTGAACTCGTATTTAAATTTCTAATAAAACTGTGTTCACACCTTAAAATGTGAAATTATGGCCATTTTTCGGAAAAAAAGACGATGTAACCCCTTATCGAAAATGCGAAAAATGGCTAAAAATTTAATTTCCTCAATCAGCCAATACAATGATATGGGTAGTTTATATTGGTCGTTAGCTACTCAAAACTGTTTTCCTTTTAGCTCTAAGTCTTGTTTGGGCTAAATTATGGCTTAAAATCCAAGGGAAAATATCGTTAATATTGCCATAAAATTGTTATCCTGATTTGTCCTTAAAAAATGTCAGAATTGTTACCATAACTTTGTCAAAAATAGTCGGAATATGGAATGTAATATCTCGTTGAACTCGTAATAACATTTCTAATAAAACTGTGTTCACACCTTAAAATGTCAAATTTTCGCCAATTTTCGGAAAAAAAGACGATGTAACCCCTTATCAAAAATGCGAAAAATGACCAAAATTTTTAATATTCGAAATCAGGCGGATAGTGATAGAATTGCTTAATTTGAATCATTAGCTGCTCAAAACAGTTATAAATATGGCTGTAAGTCTGGTTTAGACTAATTTATGACCCTAAAGCTTAGATAAAGTATGGAAAATATTGCTTACCATTTGTAGATATTTTCAATGCCTTACCTTGGCAATCCTTCCAGATTTCTGTGAATTTTTTGTTTGTAAACTTTTAATAAGCTAAAAGAAATGAAATCAAAAATAAGCCGCTGTAATAATACACCTGCCACAAATGCATCAACTGACTCATTGTTGGTTTCCCGTAAGCTTAAGTCGGTTGATAAGTAGCCCCCTTGTTCCACTTCCGTGCGAATATCTCGGGACATTTCCGGTCTTCGCTGGAAAACGACTGCACTTCCCATACGAATTGATTGACGTTTTATTAATGTGGATTATAAATGCAAAATCGAACAATGCCCCGTTGGCCAATTAATAAAATTTTTAATTGAAAAATCGTCATAATAAAAGGCCATTAAATTGAGTCTTTTGCCCCTGACCCCCCGTCTCTGGATGATCCATTTGAGATTTCCCCAAGTAAGTAAACGCTTTTCAAAATGTTTTCTTTATGATTTTCTTTTGTTTTCTCTTTTGGTTTGCTGTTGTTTTTTGTTTTTGTTTTGTTTTTGTTTCGTTTTTGTATAATTCAGATTACATTTTATTGTTAAGAATGAATTGAATTATTTCTGCTGTTGTGTCTTTTCGCCCGATCTCTGCATCTTCAACTGCGGCTTAAACGCTTGCTTTTCCATTGCAATTTTCTCGGATATTCTGGGATTTTCTTGGTTTCACCATTTTGATGCCTGGCCTTTACTTTTCTGTTATTTGTTTTGTTATCTGGTTTCTGTGTTGTGTTGAATCATAATAATCGTAATAATCATAATGCAGTATGACATAATATATATAATCTTTTCCATATATATATATATATATATGCGTGTATATGTATCGAGATTCATATATATATATATATGCGTGTATATATAATTCGATTTACCTAAAAACAATTTACAAATATATAAAAACGAATTCACCTAGTAAACTAAAGCTACATGAGTGTGTTTGAGAGTGTTAGTGATAGTGTTTGTGTGTGTGATAGTATGTGTGTGTGTGTTTGATAGTATGTGTGTGTGTTTGATAGTATATAAAAAATGATTTCCTCTCTTCATTTCCATGCACGTGGCAACATATCTTTGACTCCTGTCTGATAGCTGATGTTTACTTTGTGTTTGTTTTTTGTCGGTTTATGCAACATTCGTGTGCCTCCACCTTCTTTTTTTGTTCATATATATATGTATATATATATATATTTGTTTACAACCGATCTACATACACAAATAATATATCGGTTTATCTGTTGATTTCAGTTTTATTTATGTTCGTGCCCTGGCATTAAAAAACTGAATAGTATTGTTTGAAATTAAACATGCTACGAGTCTAGCTCGCTGAAATATAAATAAAACGCAACAAAAAAATTAGAAACAAATTTGCAGAGCAAGCGATGTTACTCATACGCCGTGTTGTATGGTCAAGGAAAGCCATAAAGGTCGTTGAAAATAAGTTTGGAACATTTAAGTCGTACAGTGGCTATAGGTTGGTTAAGACAAAGTAGTTGCCGGAAGTAAGCTTAGTTTAGGATTAATAATAAAAAGTTAACCATTTTCTAAACAAAAATTAAAAAGAAATCAATAAAGCAGTTTATCATCAAACTTAAACCTTTCAAGTCAATCTCCACTGTACTTCTCCTTCCCTCAGCTTCTCTGTCGTATTGCTTTTTTCGTGCACCGTAAAAAAAGAATGATTTTATGTAAATGTGTGTATGAAAGCTCCATTTTTGCGATTGATCATTTGTAACTGTCATTCGCAGCTTTTCCTATTAGCAAGTGTGTGAATGTGTGTGAGTGTTTATGTGTGTGTCTGTGTGAGGTGTATGTTTATGTGCAACAGTCGGCCTAAAGCTACTTAATCATATATATAATATATATAATTTGCCTTCTCTTCTTTATAAGTTTTCTTCTTTTTTTTTTTTTTTTGGTTTTTGTATAATTAATTGTTTACCTTTTTTTTTCTTTCGGTTTGTGTTATTTTTTTTTAGATTCAGAATTCCCTTTTCCTTCTTTTTTTTATTTTTTATTTATGGGACTTCTGATTTTTGTCGGTTTGTTGTTGTTTTGTTTTTTGTTTTCCGTTTTATATAAATGTAAATATCGTAACATAATATTTATGCCGTATATATGCTAAATTTAAATTTAAATTTACTCATTTTACACCTTGTCGAGTTCGCAATCATTTGTTAATCTTTTTTTTTGTTTTTCTTTTTAAAAATTTAACCCTTTCTCTCTCACTAAAAACTTAGCATACAAATTTAACAATACATATATATCATTTGAAGATACACATTCATGTTGTTTGCCATCCGACCGCGCTCAGAACCAACTTAACTTCACAAAAATTTATATTATATAGATTAACTTTGTGTCGTCTGTTTATTTAATGAATTTCTTTATTATGGGTAATTTTTTAACAAAGTTTTTGTTTTTTTGTTTTTTCCTTGGGGATATACTTGTGTTTTGAGTTTGAAAGCTGCTCCCTTGCTTTGTATAAATTAAAACTAGTTTTGTATTCTCTATATTGTATATATGGTTTGTATATATATAAAGTACTTTAGGTTTCTTTCTTTTTGTTTTTTTATCTTTCTTGTAAGGCCAAAAATGTCGAACTTAAATATGTCCAAATCGATTGATTATATTAACATAGTTCTTGTTGTTTTTGTTTCAATTGAAATATTGATGTCCTCGTCCCAGTTCTATGTTAGCTAGTGTAAATATTTCTCGCCTGGTTTTGTTGGGGAAAGGATTTTCAGAGAATTTGCAAAATAATTTTTGTTGTTTGTTGTTTTTTTTTTGTGGAATTTGCAAAATGTAATTTATTTGATTTTTTTTTTTAGTTTTTGTTGTATACATTTTATTTATAATTTTCCTTGCTATAATTAATGTTAATTAATATTTATGCCTGCCTGCTGAAATTTCCTCTTGAATATTTACCGAAAAAATGTTTTGATTAAGCTTTAAATTTAGTAAAAATGTGTTTTTTAGGGGGTGTTTTTAGGGGTAATAAGCAAGTGGGCGGGGGCATGGGGGAAAGGGGGTTGGGTTTTGTTTAAGACACACCAATTATCACCTACTATCCAATGTGTTTGTTGTTGTTTTTGTTTCATTTACTCTAAGTTTAACTAATTTATATAATGTAAGCATGTGTGTGTGTGTGTGTGTAATGGGTGTTTGTGTATATGTGTGTGTGTGAGTGTGTAACGTCTTTGTATAGTCAGTCAGTTATTTAATTGTAAATATTTAAATGTATCAACCAAAAAAGTTGCCGTTTGTTGCTTGTCTTTATTAATTTAATTTTTCAAGATTTTTTCCGTTTTCTTAATAATTTCTGCCAGGATCTGCGAAGGAAGGGATGGGGGATGGGGGGGCGTGGCATGCTGTCGGGGTCCGTCCGTCAGTCTGTTTTGGTTTTCATTTATTTTGTTTAAGTTTAAGTCTTAGAAACAATAAAAGTTTGTAATTATGCGTAGGATTTCATATCAAAAGTTTGTTTTGTTTTTCATTTTATTTCACTTTATTCTTTTTTTTTTTTTACTAAACCTTGGAACCGGATTGGGATTTGTCTATCATGTATATATATATATATGTATATATATATAGATATATATAGCCCTATATATACGTGTGTGTATGTACGTAATTATGTTATATTTAAGAAACTAATAAAAAGTTGTTTTTAAACAAAATATTGCATACTTTTATGTGCTTGCTTGAAATTTTCTGGTTTTCTTTCGATTTCTCGCTCACGTTTTAACTGCTACTTCTCCTCATCGTTCTTATATATTTCATGTTTTGTTTTTTTCTTCCTAAGCCTTAAACATCTGTTTGCTTTCATCATCATGATCATCATCATCATTCGTCTTATGTAAAATGTAAAAACGTAACGGTAAATTGTAAATATATTGTAATTGCATTAATCAATATAATTATAAGAACACATTTTCCGAGATATTCGATTTTTGTTTGTTTACAAAGAAATAATTGTTGTTAGGCATATAACCGATAAGACATAGTTATACATATACATCCGCTGTATATATAATACACATACTAATTTTAGTTACAACGTAAGGCAAAGACAACCTAGGCGGGTTCGGAATCGGGATATATAATATATATAGGGGGGATATTAACATTTAACCGAACTGAATATGTTTTTAATGGGGTAGACTAAAGGCTTTTCAGGCTGTGTAGAGAATTTCGCATGGTTTTAAGTACTTAGTCGATCTGATTTGCTCGGGTCTGGAGATATGAGAGAGAGAAAGAGAGAGAGAGAGAGAGTAGGGAGAGTTACATATACAAATATAACCTCGAAAATCAGAGTTTGATGCCCCTTGCTCGAAATGCAATCGGTTTCGGTTTCAGTTTCGTTTTCGTTTACGGTTTCGGTTTCGGTTCTCTACGAAGCAAAAGTCTTAACTGAGTTAACAATATTTTTGAAATATTTTCCCTTCCCTTTTACGTGTCATCCGCTCTGTCATATATAATATATATATGTATATATAGATAGAGTTCTGTGTTTTCTTTTACTTTCTGTTTGTTTTTTTTGTTTTTAAGTGAGTCCTTGGCGAGGATCACATCCTTGGTTGTATGCTAGCTTAAATCATGATAAAGTTTTTCTGTAACTGCTGCCTGCTCGCGGTGCAGTTTGCAGTTTTTACTCAAATAATTATTGTTGCCACATTCAGCGGCCCTCAGTCCTCGAGCAGCCGTGGTGGCTGCTGCTGCCCGGCAGGGGGCGCCACCGGCGGCAAGACACATCCGGCGGCAGCCGCATCCTCGGCAACATCCTCGCCCGCGGTCGTCTCCAGGAACGGCTGCTGCTCTTGTTATGTCAGGTCCTGCTGTGAATCTATCGAGAACAGCTCCTTGTACAGCGCCGGAAAAACGACGTTCGGGTGCTGCAGCTTGAACTTGCTCAGCGATTCCATGTGCAAAATGGAAATATCGCTGGAAAATGATAAGAAAATGTATTGTTATTATTGGGGTTTATGTTAAATTGGATAAAATTCTTGACAAAGTAGTTAAATCTTTACCGGAAATTGGGTATGTTATTCAGCAGTGTGTCCAGCACGGTGACATCGCCCTTGAGCGGCGCATGATTCGTTTCCAGCTCCTGCCGAATCGCATTCATGCTCAGATTGAAAAGCCTCTGTATTTCCGTATTACCACGCACTCCATTGCGTTCTATAAGGAAATTATTATTAAATACAAAAATCATAAAAGATTTAAACCAAACTCTCACCTGGCCAGAGCAACACTAAGCTCTGATACAGCGCCAGTTCGGTTTCAGTCAGTTTGAGTTCGGCTATCGACTTGGCCGTTTGGAAGATGCGCGACACCAGACGCATCTCCTCCGAGTCGGATGTGTAGAACGCTTCCTGGGGCAGCATAACATCGCCGTAGAGTACCGCGTTCTGTGAGAGATCTAGCAGTCTGGACATGCGAACAATCGCCAGCTCAAAGGAGCCCGTCTTCAGCAATAATATCTAAGGAAAGTAAAATTATTATTATACTTTCTTAGTAATAAAAAAGATTTCGATTTTTACCTGATCATCCTGACTCAGGCGCATGAATCCCGGTATTAGCTTAGCAAATTCGATTATGTTCTGTATCATTTGTGTAAGCTTCTCGGCGCAGTCCAGCCAGAGTTCCTCTTGGCCAAGATTCTTGTAGTAGAGAATGCGCGACACATCCTGAACAGTAAGAAATGATGAATTTAAAATGGCATACTTTTAGGCATTTTGATATATACTCACCGGCTGCTTTCGGAACATGTCGTGCACAGCTTCCAGTTTGGTATTTGTGTTGGCATGCGCCTCCGCCAGAGTCTTGATCAGCACATCGTTGATATCGCCATCCGCTGGATAGATATATAGATCAAAAATGTTAAATTAAATCAACTTAAGATTTAACCCTTAACTCACCGTGACTAATAAATTCGGGATCGATTATTGTACTGCGCGGCTCGTAGGTGGTGCTGTCCACATAGTCCGCCGAGATGTCGTACTGCATGGTCTGCTGGGGCGTTACGGATGCCGAATATCCGTAGGGGCTGCCGTAGCCCACCTCGTTGTTCGAATAGCCGCCGCTGTAGCTGAGTGACAAGAAGGGCATTACGGGTCGGGATGGTCAGTGTTGGTAGATAGGGAAGAGAAGAGCAGATAAAAGGAGGGAGATAAAGAGCGAGGTCATCAGGTGGGTTAAAAAAAAAAGGTTCAGAGGGTCAAGGGGATCACAAACAGATCAATATGGTGGGTCATTCTCATATCGGTCATACTGCACCTATTATAGTTGTTGTGATGCAGCTGATCGCTGCTAGAGGGCGTCTGTGTATCATAAACGGAGCTATCGGGTGCCGCATCACTTTGGGCCCTCATCTGGGCCTTATGGAAGCGCACCTCGTCCTCGACCTTCTCGCGCTGTTTCTTGGACATCCTGCCGAACTTTACAGCTGTAAAGGGGGTGTGGTCAAGGGGGTGGGATTATTACAGATTAATGCATAGCGGTTTTTGATCGCAGCCAGAGAAAAATTAGGGAAATCATAATTTAATAATAGATCTAAAAATTATTATTTTCCCTAAAAAATTTCTATGGCTGCTTTGTTTTACACTTTTTACAGACCATCACGACTCATTCCCAGTTTTAGGCACTTTTGCAGTCTACAATATTGACATCGGTTGCGATTAACACGGTCCACCACACATTGCTTGTTGCGCGGACACTGGTAGTTGACCACGGAGCTCTGCGACCTTCGAAAGAATCCCTTGCAGCCCTCGCAGGTGATCACGCCGTAGTGCACGCCGGATGACTTGTCGCCGCAGACTTTGCATGGAATTATCTCAATTTGAGCTGTAAAAATAAGATGGGGAAATATTTATTAGTAAAATATATTAAATATTTATTAAAGGTAAGATGTACGAGTGTGTATTAATTACTAATATTAATATATTTTTTAAATAACTCAAAACCGCATTGGCAAATTTATCGATGAAGTAACCCCAGACAGATCTCCCCTTAATATCTTAAAGTTGGAGGCCTTAAGTAATTTCCAATTGTAAACGCCCCGCAATTACAATCAATGGATTTCCCGATGCCAGCCTATGATCCATCCATTGTCGGAGTTCAGACAAAGCCACTTCGACCCCGGAGAACTATTGCGCAATATTGTAATGTATTATCCATGCAGCACAATGCAGGCGGTACCTTAAGCCACTTGTCTGCCCAGACAATAAAGAATATACCATATACCATTGCATGGTGTAGAAGAGAGGGATGGTCTTGGCTGCGAGGGGAGGGGGCAGATAGTGCGACAGCTGTTCGGGTTTCCCTTGCAATCCGCAATCCTTTCAGCGGTGATGCAATTTCCTGATCAACAGCAGTGCACCATCTCATCGCTGAGAACTGGTTCACGGAGAGAATTAAAATCTGCCGCAATTTACACTGGCCTCGAGTGTTTTCAGTTTTTATTTTTTTGCTTATATTTAAGAACTTTTTGTAATCTTTGGTTTTTGGATAAAAATTACAATTTTTAGTAAAATATTAATTAAACTTTTATGATAAGGTCGAGAAATTCATCTTCTACACCTTAAACTCTTGTAGCTTAGTGTAGGACTTTAAAGCCAGTGCAAGAGAGCGAAAGAGAGAGAGCGAGAGAGTGGTGGAGCGAGGGAGAGAACGCAAGCGGGCAGATTGGTCTCGTCTGGCGGCGGTATTGTGTAATCTAGGCGCTTTGCCTTGCTTATTTGTATTTGTATTTACCCACGAGGATGAAAGATGCGCGCTGAACCGAACGCACACAATCACAAAAAATGCCGACGCAGCAACAGCAACAGCAGCATCCGCAGTGGCAGCGACGCTGGCAGCTACGTCGATGTTAGCAGAGAAGGGGAGCACAATCAAAACACAACAGAAAGCAACACCAACACAAGCGTAGCTTGAAAAATGTGCCAAGCGTTGCCGTTTGTTGTTGTTGCTTTTTTGTTTTTGTTGTTGTATCGGATCGGAGAAATGTGTGACAGATGATGAGTGAGTGAGTGAGTGAGTAACCAGACTGTCGCTGTGTAAGTGAGTGACTGAATGTTTTTCAAGTGTCAATGAACTTTTTCCACACGGCAGTATCTCATACAGAGGCAGGCACACACAGCAGCATTCTCGGTGAGCAAAGAAAAAGAAAACAAAAACAAAATCGAAAAGAAAGTTCTCTGCTTGACGTACTCTTTGCTAACCGCACTCTCTTTAAGCAGTTACTCTTAAGCGTCTAAGAGCGTGCAACTCTCTGTCGATGCAATTGAGCAAGCAGACAGATATTTAATTATGCTAGAATGTGTGTCGTCATCGGTGAAAAGGATGGGTTTTTTTTAAAGAGGGTTTTAAGAGGGGGTTTGGCTCACTTAAGGCAGCTTAAACTTTTTTATCGTTCTCGGGCATTACGAAATACTCGAAATACTTGCACGGCAAATGCAGTATTTGTAAGGCCTTTCCCCCGAAAAAACACACACATAAATCTTTATCTGAAGTACCGGAATGTGCGTGTTTATGGGTCTTCAGACAGATAAGTCGCATAAGTTGAGGGTAAAATGCACTAGAGAGCGACAAAGAGAGAGAGAGAAGGCACATTTACCGTTATGACAGGTAAAAGCTTCAAACTTTCCAGGCGATTCCCACTCATTTGTATGCAACTCAGGAAATCGATAAGTCAAGCGATAGCACTTACACATGTTTTCTTTTTAAAGTTGGAACTACTCTTCCTTTTCACAAATTTTGAGTTTTGACTTGAAAATTGACTTTAAAAATAAGTTTTTGGTTAAAAGTAAAGGTTAATAAAATATAAAAATAATACAAATTGTAGTGCAAAAGCGATTGTTTGTTGATCTAACCTCATCCTATTATTAGAACTCCAAAATGTCTGGCTCAAACTTACATGGTAACACGACACCTTTGGGTAATTAACTTTAAACCTACGCACATTTTCGCCCTCATTTGTGTTAACAAATAGCACGGACAAATATTTACTTAATACGCGTTGCGGAAAAGTGTGTCATGAAATACATTTTATTGTCTTATTTGGCATTTTTTGCGTTGTGTACTTTGACAACGAGAAAACAAAAATTTATGACATACTTTTCTTGAAACGAACGCAAATATTGGGTGAAATTGTTTGCTTATCAGAGGTAAAAGCCAGGAATAAAAAGCTGAATTTAGTGTAAGTAAACATGAATAAATAAATGCCCAAAGAGTTACGATAATGTTTTTTAATTAAATTGCGAATGTATAATTAAGATGTAAGATTTTTTTTACGACTGGCACGAAATGCATTTTTGCTCAATGAAAACGCATCCATTCAATTATTAGGTAATTCCACATCATCACGAACACGCACCGTTGTCGGTTACAAGAAAGAAAAAACAGAAATGAAAACAAGTTGTAGTTAGTCAACGAAAGAAAACTGCATTTTGTGGTTAATCAACCAACAAGTTTGCAACGCCTATATTTATAACGTGAAAGAAAATTAATTGCCAACCAAAAAAAAAAAAAAGCGGCTTAATAAATAAAATTCTGAATGGCCAACGTTGGATAAAAACTGCGAGAGAAAACCGCCCAAATATTTTGCATATGCAATTTATTTGCGACGCCCGGCGGGCTTGCTCTTTTTTTTTGCTTTTGCTGGTTGCAGCAATAACCAGAAGTCAAAATTAATATGTTCTTCTTTATTGCGAATGCATGCCCGCAAAAAATGCAGTTCGCCAAGAAGTAAAAAGTGTAAAAAGTATAAAAAGCATTCGCACATGAATGTGTGCACACTTGCATACGAAAATTAATATGCAGCGACATGTGCTAACGAAAATGCACACATATATATATATATGTAAAAACCCGGGAGATCGGGCGGAATAGTGGACAGGGGGAGCCGGTCGCAAGAGCGGAAGGAGTGGGGCTGATGCATATGAATTGCACTTTTTGGCACTGCGGCGAACGGCAAAGTCAAATAAAATAACAATAACAACGCCAGAAACTAAAGCAATGATATAAAAAATAACACACACATAATACCTCATGAACAGTGTGACAAAATGTAAGCAATGTGCTGTTAAAAAATGTATTATTATTATATTATAAATTATTAAAAGAAAGAGTTAGAAATCATCATACGCGCCAAAAGGTAGGCAATGCTTCTTAAAAGGCCAGTGAAAGCTTTTTATAAAAATAATAATCTAAATTTAATATGAATATATTTTAAATCTTTTAATTCTTATTTTTAAATCTCTATAAAATGCATTACACTTTTTTCCAACACAGAACCACTGTTCCTCAGCAGAGAGTACAAAGCACAGTCAATTTTGAGTTGCCCATGTGGCAGCGCAGTCAACGTTGCTGCGACTGCGATTGCTGTTGTTGCTGCTCCTGCAGTTGCTGCTGCTGCGACTATTGCACAAGTTGTTCGTTCGTTGAAAACGCCGACGATGACGCGGCAGCGACAGCGACGTTGACTGAGGCACGAGCTGGCAGCGTCGTCGGCAATTCGCAATTCGCAACTCGCATTCGCAGAGGCAAAAAAGCAGCTTCGTAAGTGGGTCAGCGAGCTGTGGGGTCAATGCACCAGCCGACTGCCTTGTGGCCAAAAGAGAGAGCCCAAGAGAGCACCAAGCTCTCTTCCCATATATTTGTACTCTTCTCTGTCGTGTTTCATTCTTTTGCCGCCAAGCCAAATGCTAATAGAAAACTGGTTTTCAGCTTTCACAAAAAAGGTAAAAAAAAAATAAAAGGAGGAGCGGAGCAGGAGAGAGGAGTAGAGAGGCTCAGAGGGGGGTCATTTTTAGCCGGCTGTGCGAAATGCCGTTAGAGAAGAAATAGCATTAGCATTAGCATTAGCATGCTGGCTACGTAATTTGTCGCTTTCTTTTCAGTCAGCTTATTGTTGTTATTTTCCCTTTGCATATTTGTTAACCAACCAGAAAAAAAAAAGTTCGTAGAATGCCGTTAGAATTTCGTAAGGTTCAAAAATTCATTCATCACGAAATATATACACATTTAGACATAACATAAGATGGCTATAAAGTTTGGCTAACGGTTCGCTTGTTCTTTTTTTGGCCACATGATGAAGACGTTGGCTTGGCATTTTTGTAATGTTTACATTTCGCACTCGCTGGCTCTTTCTCTCTGTCTTTTCCCTATTGCCATCTCCCTTCCACTGCCCGCGTACGTGACGCGTTCGTTCTTTTGTTGCCAACAAAAGAATTTCTCATATACAAATTTTTGACTGGGCCCACAAGTTTATTGACCCACGAAATACAAAAAAAAGAAAAAATGAGGAGGCTGAAACAGCGGAAGAATTTGCCATTTTTAGTCGATTTAATGAAATGCTAAGCATTTTCACCAAATGATGTAATTTTCTCCTCGTAATCCAATCGCTTTCTATATGAGTTTCACACAAAGTATCGATGGGGATATATGTATATATAAAAATTCGTTCAGAACAATTAGTCAGTTTGCGGGATACATGACGTATGCGCAATTTATTATATTGTTTCCCAAACATCACGTATACGCCACTTCACGTGATGTTCGCTGGGGAGAACAATTGGCTAATATTTTATATATATATATATATATTTATTCAAATTGGAAGAGAGAGCGGCTGAAATTTACTAGTTTTCTTCGAAATGATTCACGGTGATTGTGGAAAATTTCCCTGTAAAGTGTCGAATTAGATTTATAGGCAATTATTTGTTGCGTTTAGTAAAATTATTTGCTAGTCTATATATAATTTGACTTAAAGTTTGCTTTGTGGAATATTTGAAATACACTAAGCGCAGAAGAATCTTAAGCTAACTTCCTAAGATCATTATGTC